GTGAAATTCATTAGTATCATTAATAATATTTATATTTGTTTCATTATCTAATGGTCGAATACAATAGGGAATAATTTGAAAAATTAATTTCATCTGAATCCCATAATTAACGATTTTATCATCAACTTCATAATAAAGGCAATCATGGTGAAGTTGTATAATCGTGTTCATTTGTTGATCAGTATTGTACAAAATTAATTGTGGAAATGAATAAACAGCGATCAATAAAACATAGAAATGTATACTTTTTACAAGCATTGTTTGTCTAAGAAAATTTAATCAATTTCTTTCAATGACTCAAGATATGGACTCTTCTGTACCAAGAACTCATTTAATCATTGAAAAATCAATTTTGGTTAATAGATATTCAAATAGTTTGAAATTTTCACGCCAAGTTTCTTTTGCAATTATTACTTCATTCAGTTATACTAAACTTTTTTTAAGTTCTTTATATTCTTATTTTTTGTATGACGAAGAAACGAGAAATGCTGACCGCTTTAAAATAAAATCGACTAAAACATTTCAAGTTGCCCCTTTTTGATAAAGTGTCGGAAGTAGAAATTGAACAATTTAGAAGACACATCTGATTCGTTTTGTCTTGTCTACTGTTATCAGAAAAATCAACTATTTTATGAAAAGAAGATACGACATATTCAATAAAATATTGTCAAAATTGGCAAATTCGCTGATAAACTCTATTGCATAAGAAAGCTTACACATGATGTAACAAGGCCATATGTTTATCTAATCATTGATATAATATTTGGCAATGATGAACTTGTATTGAATAGGATTAAAAATTCAATAAAGTGGTATCTGTAGCATCTGTCACGGCAATGCTAGTCTATTAATGTCAATAGTGATGTAATCAGACTGAGACACTTGGTCTCCGTCAGCCTCAGCTGAAAAGCTAAAAAAATACAATTTCGACCGAGACAGCATAGCACACTTATCTATGACAAAGAAAGGATTGAGATTAAACATAATCGAGACGAGTGTGGATTGATTTAAGAGAACATTCACACTCATACCCTAAAAATGTCAACTACATTGATTAATTCACTTTGAATTAAGCCTGGAATCGGATTTGTCCTATAATTCCTATATTTCAATCACTATTCCTATTTTTCTTATGCTGTATCAAAAACACTAGAAAAACTTCAAAAGATTTAACAATGGTCTGAGGGAGAGTAGAGGAGCTTCGCGACGCTACTCACTTTTGATGACGAATCTAGGAGATGAGAATAGGTGGCTCTTGCAGGTAAGACTCGACGTAGAATACCTATATTTTGGTTAGTTTTGAGTGAAAATAGTCGTAAGATTAAGAAAACAAAATCCTATATTTTCATTAATAGATTAAATGATATCATGAGTAACATCAAACAACAATGTATATACTATGATATCTATTGAATAATGTCATTAGTGAATCGTTAAGGATGTTTTTTTTAACATTTGAAAAATCTTTATAGTCAAATGAGTTCATAAATTCAAATAATTAAAAATAAATTAGTGTAAGTGTGAGGAAAAAATAGATAGTAAAGCTATCAAATGAAATAGATACGTGCAGCGTCTTTGTGAAAGTTTCAACATTGAACATCTTGCTGAGTAAGATATGTTTTTCAATTTTTTTTTTGAATTTTCAAAAAAAGACAGGATTAAAAACTATCTGACTTGATTCCATACAACTATCAATGCATCAGATTATTTTATTCGACAAATTCTAATTTAACTATCTAATCCGATATGACAAACTTCTCACAAATTTCAATATTCAATGTTTGTTTATTTTGAACCATTTATAATACTAATCTTATTACAGAAGTCCTGTCCAATGATCAATCTCAATCAAAATCACAGTATAATTTACATGTAATTATTTAAAGTGAATATATCTTTCATGTGATAATTGAACTCTATATATGCGAAATGAAAGTCACTTGATTTCATGCTATAGATCTTTTATTATCTTACACAAGTAGCAGCATGTTGATGATCATTCATCATTTTAAGTGTTTGTCAACACTACGGAGAATTAATCATACATTGTTAATTACATTCTTATCATCAGGACTTTCATAAACCGACAATACTTTTATTACGTCGCATATTAATTCAATTCAATCTCATTAATATATGTATTCATATTATATCACTCTGCCAATTTCCATGTACTAATGTTATAAATTGCATACATTGATCATTTAAAAAATCATTTACGATGTCATCATCATATTGAAAATAGATTTGCACAAAAATTAGTTGATGTTTTGAAAGAGC